GACTTTTTTTAAAATTTTTTCTCCCACTGCCTGTCTGCGCCAAATATGTGAGTGACAGGCTCAAACTTCTGATGCTCTGATCTTGTTTCCTTTAAAAAATTTTTTTAGGCAGGGTCTCATGTATCCCAGGCTGACTTGGAGCTAGAGCTCCTTGCTATTCCTCTTGCTCGGGGCTAACATTGGAGGCTTGCCTGGTGCTGGGAACCTGCCCCCTAAGCAAACACTGCCAACAGAGGCTTAGTCATCTTCAAAGACTGCACTTTGTAGAGAAGGCATGGGACTATGACATCCCATCTTTTCCTAAAAGCCTGAAGTTAATAATTGATTAAACACCTTCAAAGCCCCTGCCACACATATAGCTGAGGCACTTGGCTGAGGAGCCTGGATGTTCCTTGTCTTTCTGCTTAAGAAACACATTGACTATTCTGAACTTGTTTTCTGCAACACACTTCCAGGACCCAGGATTGCTGGCCGTGTGTGCCCCACCATGCTCTGAGGGGACCACCTCTGCTTCACTGCTCAACTGGTGAAATTGCATATCCTGCTGCTCATGACAAGATGACTTCACAGAGTTGCCAGAGGGGTCCAGAGAGTGCACACATGCCCCACAAGGGGCCATGCCATACCATTCTCTGCAGTCCTGGCTCTTCACTGTGTGGCAGCAGCCTAGGACCACCCAAGAAACCTGGAGGGCACAGCAATCCAGTCAAGTCCAGCACTGTGGTCTCATCATGGGTTGCAGGGTGCCAGGCTGGCTTGCTGGGGTTGCTGTTGTTACTTCTGTGGTGAGTGTCCATGGCAGGTAGGATGTGGATGGAATGGGAAGGAACAGGGAAGCTGCTCTAGCTCCTGCCATCCCTGGTGGGCTCCGATGGGGGTCTCACCGTGGTTGTGGCCTGCCATCCCTTACCTTGCCTCTTGTCATACATAGTACAGATATACATATCCTGTGAGCACTCTTGCCATAGTGCGGATACACAGACTGATGGCTCACACATGCTGTGAAGACCTGACTGTGCGCTTCTCCTGGGCTGCATCCCTCTCGGGGATGCCTTGCTACTTCACCCACGATGGGGAAACTGGGCGAGGTTGGAGAAAAATTACCTTTGGGCATCCAGACATCTTTACCAAAGTTTCGCAGAGGCGGGGAGGGACAGTTTTCATCTCATGGTGATGTTCTAAAGGTAGCTCGAGAATCTAGGAAAAGGGCCTGGCTAGTTTAGCTCTGGGATAACTTCCTGTTCCGTCATTATAGCAGCTTACACACTTGCCAATGGCTCTAATCCCATTCAGAGGGCTGCAACCTCATGCCATAATCATCTCCCCAAGTCCCAGTGGGGGTTCAGCCTCAACGTATAAATTTGGGGAGGATGAAGCATTCTGCACTCAGCACACCACCAAACATGTTAACTGAAAATATAGCACCTTTATTGTACACCCAAATGGTCCTACAGCCCCGAGGTGACTCCTATCAGACTTTGTGGAAATTGATCAGTTGGGACTGCTGAGATGATTCATCAGATTAAGCCTCATGAATTGAGTTTGCTGTCTAGAGCCCACATGGTTTAAGGAGAGAACGTACTTCTGCAGTATTCTCTGACATCTATATAGACACCACACACACACACACACACACACACACACACACACACACCACTAACACACATACTCAATAAATATAATTTTTAGTTAAAAATTTAATTATCTGGTTCTAAAATGCACATGGACCCCTGATAGCCAAAACAAACTTGTAAAAGAAAGGATAGGGCTGGGGGAAATCTATCTGGATTAACAAGGGCCCTTAGGTAAGAGCTGTTCTGAGTTATTCAAGGGGCTGTTCATTGATCCCAGTCAGTGCCTGGGTACCAAGAGCCTCCTGTAACTGAGTTCTTTTATTGCCATAGGTGGGCTGGAAGTGAAGACCGCAGAGGAGACACAGATAGTATTCCTACATGCCAATGTCACTGTACCCTGTGAAATCCCTGGTTCACCCCACCTGGACATCAAGACTGTGGGAATCATCTGGTCTTTTAAGAATGTGTGGAATGAATCCGAGGTCCCAATATATGAGCTTTATGGAAATCACCTAAAGGTGTTACGACCTGGAGCCAATGTGTCACTGTTGGGGCTAGAGCGTGGAGATGCCTCGCTCCATCTGCCTAGGATCAAGCTCAGTGAGGCAGGAGAATACCGATGCAAGCTGGTGGTCACCCCAGAACATGCAGAGGGGACGACCAGGATAGACGTTGTGGGTGAGTCCTTGTGCTTGCGATGGTGCCGGGTCTAGTGGTGGACATGTGGATGGCCAAGCAGAGCCGAGGGCTGTGGTTTTCAGTTCTGTCCTTTGCAACCCATGCTGGTGGGCAAATGCTAAAGAGGATGAGGCAGGAGGACCTTGGATTTAAAGGCATCTGGGATTACACATTCTGTGTGGAGATGTATGAAGCTTGATTGTAAAGTGTTTGCCAGGCTCTGGCTCCAACCCCCACTCCTGCTCAAACTAAACAAAGGCAAAACAGTTTGACAACCTTTAGGAACTTACCATTCACTCTGAACTTCTGTCCTCATAGGTAAAGATAATCTCCCTAAGAGTTATAGGAAGAGTCGGTAAGCAGCCTGCTCTAGTGGCAGGCTTGGGGATTCTGTACTTCACCTGTGGCGTGAACCGTCCATCTGCACTTAAGAGGTGCCTCGGGAAGGTGGCTGGGAGAGGAGTTCGGTGCCTGGCTGGGCTCCATGATCTCAACTCAGATTCAGCTTTGCTACTTCCAACCTGAGAGACTGGACCAAACACTGACTATCTTTGGAGTGAAATTTTCCCATGAGTCAAATGGGACAGGGCCTCAGTAAATTGCTGAAAGGTGGCTTGAGCAGTAGAAGAATTGTTCTGCTACTCAAATCAACCTTGTCACAGTGCATGTCTGTGACCGCTTCTGCCTTCAACCCCACTGCATTCACCTGCAGTTACTTAGGTCAGTGTCATTAACTGCTTCCTGATGTCAGGGTGTTGTGCATTTTGGTATTTAGTTAGACTCATTGGCACAGTGTGTTTGCTTGTTTGCTTTGAGATGGTTTCATATATCCCAGGAGGTTGGTTCTGAACTTGCTATATATTTTGGATAAAAGTCGTTTATTGCATGCTTTTCACAAAGTGTGTTCATTTTACTTTGCCAACTTCTACACAGAAGTGTTGAGTTTTTAGTAATCCTAACTTGCTATTTTTTTTTCCTTCAGAGTTTATGACCTGACATTATTTCCTTGTTTGGCTTTTTGGAAAGTGGTTTCAGGTAGCCTAGGCTGGCCAGGAGTTGCTGTGTAGCTGCAGATGGCCTTGCATTCTGATCCTCGTGCCTCCGTCTCCTGAGAGCTGGTATTGCACTTTGTGCCTCCACACCATGCCTTATTTGTCTTCTCAGTTATTGCTATCACAGCAGCATTCCTTAAGGATGCTTCCTGGAAGGTGCTTTCGTGCCTCTGAATAGATCCAGGGTGACTGCACCTTCCTACAGCATCTCTTTAACCAGGACAGGTCATTCCCAAGGCAAACATGCTGAGGATCAGTAGTGTTCACTACAGGCATGCTCCAGTGCTTTTTTATAATCTGAAAAATGTCTGACAATAGCTTCAAAAACTCTACTTGACAAAATTGCTTTGTAAATGAGGGTCACAGCACTACCACCAGCATACCCAGAACATTTGATTAAACAGTCTTAACCTGTTCACTCACCCACCCTGAGCGCTTGCCAGGGGTCAAACATGCCAATAAGATCTTCTCGGTCTATCTCCAGGGAGCTCCCAGTCTGGTGTGGTAAACTCGGGGGGGGGGGGGGGCCTCCCCCAAGCTCATTGCTGAGTTAGAAGCTGTGGTGTGAAGAAAGAAACAGGTGGTTTGCTCTAGCCAGATTGTGGTTCTTATTTTTCCCCAGTTTTTAATTTAAATTAGAAACAAGATTGTTTTACATGTCAATCCCAGTTCCCTCTCTCTCCCTTTCTCCCCTGCCCCCCACTAACACCCTGCCCATCCCATATCCTTTCTGCTCCCCAGGGGGGCGTCTTCAGAGTCTGTCATATCCTTTGGGATATGGCCTAGGCCCTCCCCCTTGTGTCTAGGGTTAGGAAGTATCCCTCTATGTGGAATGGGCCCCACTACCAGAGGCCCCATAGATTTCCATAGATTTCACAGACACCCTTGTTCATGGGGTCTGGATCAGTCTTATGCTGGTTTCCCAGCTATCAGTCTGGGGACCAAGAGCTCCCCCTTGTTCAGGTCAGCTGTTTCTGTGGGTTTCTCCAGCCTGGTCTTGACCCCTTTGCTCATCACTCCTTCTTCTCTGCACCTGGATTCCAGTTCAGCTCAGTGTTTAGCTGTGGGTGTCTGCTTCTACTTTAATCAGCTGCTGGATGAAGGTTCTAGGATGAAATATAATTTAGTCATCAATCTCATTATCAGGGGAGGGCATTTAAGGTAGCCTCTCCACTGTTGCTTAGATTGTTAGTTGGTGTCATCTTTGTAGATCTCCAGACATTTCCCTAGTGTCTGATTTCTCTTTAAATCTATAATGGCTCCCTCTCTTATGGTATCTCTTACCTTGCTCTCCTCTATTCTTCCCCCGACTCAACCTTCCTTCTCTCAT